CAAGCGGATTCTAAATTACGATTTTTGAACATAAAAGTGGCTATAACTCGGAAACGGCTCATTTCCGGACCTATGTTTGTATGAACTTTTTTGCTTGTTTTTGGGTCCCGAATCATCTCCCAAAGTGGAGTAGGCAATTTTTCGGACACCCTGTATATATATATAGTGTATATATATATATATACTAGCTTTTCGGCCCGCGCTTCGCGCGGGTATAAATCTATCTGTATATTAATTATATATGCTTTAAATTCACCCATTAATTTGAAACACTAAATTTGTTATTTTTATATATATATATATATATATATATATATATATTATATAATATATATGATAAAAGTTTCAAATTAAATTTTGACATAACCGTCTTATGCTATCTTTGTATTAACGTATCTTTTCCTCAAAATTTTTAGTTTGGCTTTTTTTTGTATATTTCTACTAGGGATGGATTCAAGTTCAATACTCAGGTAGCAAGCTGACGTTATTTGTCGTCAAAATGACGTTTTTGTCGACATCTTGACGTTGAAATTGCGACAAATAGCATCATACTACCTTGGAGCGGACAAATCCAAGTCAAATCCAATAATCAAGTTTCTAAGTTTCGAGTGATACTTATAATTTCTTATAATATTTCATATACATTATACTTGCGAAGTAATCGATCCCGAGTTAGTTTCGAATTTTAGAATGAGTACATGCTGGATTAATTTACACACAATGTATTTATAAGTAGTTTCTATCGTAAAGAATCGAATCTTTTACTACTGTAAAAATATAAATTTTTAAATAATGTTCTTAGTCTATATTTTTAATAATATTTTTACTGTGTTTAATTTCAACAATTAATAATACAATATATATAATTATCAAAAAATAATAGAGGAAAGTACCCGATTATGAGATACCATATCTATTTTGTGTGATTGCCGGAAGTCTATGGGTAGAATTGAAAAATATAGTAGGTCATTTTGAAGGGAATTTAATAAGCTTTAAGATGCTGAAATGTAAAATTTAATTTAAATATTAATTTTGCTGGAAATTAGAAAAATGTGAAAAATGAGCTTTTGGCAAAATCGAAAAAGTGTGCTCCTAATATGAGAGACCCCGGGAAATCGCTAATAAAGTGCAAAGTACATCAGTATTACTATTAAAAACCTTTATTTAATGTTTCTCAAATACACATGTGATGCAGAAGCATATTTGCAACAATCGTAAACCCACTTATACTCAATATTGTACCTAATCTCCCCCCCCCCCACCCTTCTCTCTCAAATCAAGGTCAGCTCAGTCTTATAAATTCGTATAAACCTTCCCTTAACGTTAATATAGTATTTTCTCTTCTTTTATTACTATACAATAACTTTCATACTCCAGCAACCCAGGAGTACCCTGAGTATCTCATGTTACGAGCACCACGCCTTGCGGTTTCACGATCACCAAATCTAATCTCTACAATTGAGCAACTCAACATATCCCATATTTTCCTATTAATACGACCTTACTCTATCACTGCATGCAGAACTTATTGCCAAATATTTATTAATTATATAATAAACAAGGTTTAAAGACTCATATCCATGGCACTTGACAACATCCAATTTCAGAATTTCTTTCTCTGCAACGACTACACGCACGATCAAACAATGAATTTTCCACTAAATAGGTTTTACCCCAAGGGCAATAAGTTCATGGCGGAACCAACAGATAGGGCCTATTAGTTTAGCAGAAACCTCGCTGTCGCATATTAGGAGCCTATCTCATAATAGGGGACTTTCCTGCTATATTAAAATAATTGTTGCTTTACAAACGTTTTGATTCGAAGGAAATTTTTAGTAAAATACACATACCTACAAGATTCGAACAAGATTTGATCTACTTGGAAGTAATAGGGTAACTCCGGTATATACGCTGCAGCTAAGGGAAACTTAATTTATCAAATACTATTTACTATGTTTAAGGCAAATAAATTATACCAATAAAAACTTTATACTGTCTACTACTATAAAAAAATAGAAATATAAAATATTCATTCTTTGTATTTAATAAAAAAAACTTTTAGAAACTCTTGCATTTTTGCCATATATATATCCCAGAGCGGTGGGTTATATAACATTCATGGATGAAATATACGCCTTATAAAAAATTACAAATAATGTTCATAAATAAGGCAATAAAATGTCATAATAATAAGTTATAAAATGTGTGTAAGAAGTTTATTAAGATGTAAGAATGATAAACAAATTATAAAACTGAAAAATTTTTAAAAGAAAATAGAAGAGCGATAGATGCATTAAAGATTATTGTTATACGATCCAAAAAAAGAAGGAAAAAGAACACATAGGAGATTTCGAGTTTTACAAAGTGTCTGTACTATGGCATAAATCCCGCATGCTAACTTGCCGTATATCCTAAATAGGAGGGATATACACGATATTAAGTTAAACAAAAAATACAAGAACTATGCATTTGTATTTTGCTGTATTCCATCATTTACTATCCCTCTACACTTATGTATCATGAAATAACCATTAAACCTTTTACATTCTTTACAGTAATCATTTTACGTAGGTCGTAACAGAAGATCGCGCTTCTTACTATACGGTGAGAAATCGATTCAACTTACGACAGTTTCGTTAATATTAACAGTAAAGAACTGAAATTACAACACAATACTAATATGACATAAAGGCACATAACAGAATATTTGCGAGCAAGTACCTTCATTCCTTCTATTTTTTCTCACATGTGCGGCGTAAAACCCCACGCGGCGTAAATACTGGAGTTACCCTATTCTTGTTTTTCAAGATACTCATAGCAGATTCAACCATTTCGTCCAGGTTCGAATTTACTTGAAAGTATTGCTTTTATTTTTTGAAGTAGTCATAGAGAGTTCGAAATTACGCCAACTGATTTGAATCTACTTGTAAGATATTTAATCCCATCGTTAATTTCTACATATTTTTTTTCATTTGTTTGATCAATTCATTGAATTTTGATCTCCGCAAAACATTAAAAAAATTATAATTATATTATATTATAAATCGCATAACAATGCGTAACAATATACATATACGCATATATATACATGCGACCATTGAAAAAACATGAAAAAGAAAAAAACGACGTCAGAATGATGTATCAGCCATTTAACAACTTCCGCATTCAGGCATTATTCATGTAACGTTCAAGATATTATTTTTAGACGCACGCTCATCGTTTTCTCCTTCTTATTTTGACCTCGAGATAAAGAGAGATAAAGAGATGTTGAAACGCGCAGTAGAAATTCCATGATCTTCATCAACGAGAAAAGCCTCGAGGAAAATAACTAATTCCGCGCGTAATATTTTTTCACAGCAAGACATTATTTTTAAAGATTTTTTTTATATCCATAGTATTTATATTAATTATGGAAAAACATGAATACTCTAAATAATTGTGAAGCTACGTGACTTCTTACTATTTTCATAATTTGCATATTTAAGATTAAAGGATTAAGAAATTGATCCGGTTGTTATGGTCAAAGCCCGAAACGCGGCCATTTCTAGCATTGACTGGTCAATTCTGCGGAATGACTGATCAATCCTGAGGAATAACCAAGCGTCTTGATTAAAGCAGTTAGGTATCAGGCTGGGAGTTTGATTAGCTTTATTATGCGGGGGAAGGGGCTGCGGCCCCTCCCCCGTCTATTTGTGTACTGTTTATACACACATATTAACAAATTACTACAAAACTTTGACCAAGACGCTTGGCCGTTCGGCAGAATTGATTAGTCAATCCTAGGATTGACCGCGTTTCGAGCTTTAACCATAACACCAGTTATAATTAAAATTTTTTTCTATATATAAATCATGCAATTTTGTTACGTATGGATTAATGTATATATATATATATATATATATATATACATACATACATATATGTGTATATTAAATTTTTATAGATAATGCAAGGTAGCGGTATGCAACAATCGCCGGATGGTCTGAGTCTGGACGCTGGTGGATTTCAGCAACAGCTCTATCTACAGCAAGAGCATTCGATGCAACCGATCAATGTCAGGTGAGTACGACTCAATTCTTTAAGTTACCGTTAATGATAACGGTATAAATTAGACCTTGATTTTGCGCACAAAATTCATGCACTTTTTAGCCGCGTATCTGTACGAACGTAATATGCTGAATCCATGATGAATCCATTAATAGAGAAAATAAAAGGGAAAAAAAAATTGCTTGCAATAAAATTTTAGCTCGCAATTTTTTAAATTAAGCGAGATAAGGGATATCAGGGCGATAGTAATGGAAAGAAATTCGAGAGAGAAAGGGAGAAGACGGGGGAAGGGAGGGAGAGAGGGGAAGAGAGAGAAAGAGTTTCAAAATATCATGTCGTCGGACTTCCCTTATTCTTCGAGCTCAAATGGAGCTCGAACGGAATTCAAACAGATGGCGATGATCGGAAGATACTAAAGTGTAATAAAGCAAGATTAATGAACATCGAACATTCTTAGCTATCTTATATGATCGTTCACCGATGCCAATGACACTATGAAAGCACTCGACTCGTTTACTGCGCGACTAGAAATCATTCCGCTATGATTGAGCATCATTACTCCATTAAGACACGTTTTGTTTTCTATAAAAAAAAAGGTCATATTGATTAAGATTGATATATGCGGGAATAAGCACGAGTCTGAAATTACGTTTCTTCTCCCAGTACCGAGACTGTTTTGCAACGTTAATAACAATTTACACATTAACTTGGGAAACTCGACGAAATTCTACGAATGGAAAATTATTGAATTAGCGATATACTCTCTTATACGTGGTATATATAGCAAACATCGCGCAAACCGTTGCGTCGCGGCGGGCGTACCGTTGCATAACTCCAAATTATGGAAATTCGACTTACCTCGTTACTGCGCACTGTCCTGCAGCAATTTGAGTAAAGCCAATTTTGATCATTAGCATAGTATGTAGCACGATCAGAGATCAAGATCTCATTCGTCTGTACATTGTTCTCGCGAAAATTATTCCCGCTTAATCTCGTAAAGGCTCAGTCACAATGAGAAAAATTAAGAATAAGATAAAGGAATAAGGAATAAGGCATGTTGCATCTCACTTTAATGTACATGTACTGAAGTGAGATGCGACATTCCCTTATTCCTTATTCCTTTATCTTATTCCTTATTTTTCTCATTGTGACTGAGCCCTAATGCTCAAGATGATCGAACAATAAAGTATAAATTCACCGTTTTGTCTTGTCGTGACTACGAATGAGGAAGAGGCTCGACAAGATTGACATCGTGATATACGTTAGGTGCGATTCCAATGGAAATCCGTTGCGTTAAGAATTAAACAAACCGTATCATTCCGTAATAGACTGGAACTTAATCAGCGAGAGATCGGAGGAGTCGGTGCGCGATTCCTGCCTTTGTTTCTCCAACAATATTTTTTTACACAAGAATGTTTCATATTACTTCTCACTGCCGTTATAGGATTAAGTATGTCTTCTCGCGGGACGAAGTGCTTCTTTCTTTGTTCTGGGCGAAATGAAGGAAAATCGTCTGCTGCATACGAATACGATGAATGGATATGTATATGTACGTGTGTACGTGCTGCGTGCCTGCATGCCTGGCGTGCATGCGTGCATGCGTGCCCGCACATCTATGTAAGAAGTAACTGATATGCTATGATTTACGTGTATTAATGCCTACCAAATAACGTTTGTGAGAACCTGCCATTACGTAGTCTTACAAACCGCAATTTAGAACGTCGAAATTTTTTTTAGCGGATGAACATCTTCGCTATGGGAGATGACGGGGAGGAGACTGGGAGGGAATCTCCTCGGCCCTTTACCCTTTGCCCAGAGGTATCGCGAAGTACCGAGCGAACATATTTTGCTATTCAAATTATATACTGTAATCAATCTAATTAGAGAGGAAAATACATCGGGTAAAAATATCCGATCTAAACGCGCGCTATCAGCGCAGTCCAGTACACCGTGAATCAAAGCGGATATATCGCTAATAGTTATCTACGCGCAATTATCTTGTGCATAACGTGACGCATAGATCACCAATAACTGCGCTCTTATGCAGAATGCTGTACCGTGTAGCTAACGCAACCTTATAGACAGATCAATCGATAGATAGTATTAGCAACAAGTATCGCACAAATGGCTGTTGAGACACAGTAAAAATACTGTTTATGCGACGATAAGCGATTGCCGATTAATGTTTAATTAGTAAATTCTATATACGGCTAAACTCATACGAAAACAATGCCAAATTAATAAAGAGAACACTGAAAATATCTTTTTTAATAAGTTTTCTTCTTTCCGATGTCGCAAATCTTACAGAGAGAATAGAGTTGTAACATCACAAGGCAAAACGGCCTTATGATTTCACACTGCCGGTCAAAAATTTGAATTAAAAATGTCTATACTATGTGAAATGAAATCAACTACTTACTCCGCCCTCTTTTTTACCCAAAGGTGTTGAGGGGTACATAGAGCATTTTATGCTTTTGTTTTTATAATCTGCACTTTTGAGCTCTGATGTACAGGTGATTGGCCCACAGCATTCTAGCTCAAATATAAAATAATTTTATAGGAGAGCGCTTTGAAAGTTTTGATGCTATTTGGCGTCACAACTTTTACATCTCTTGCAATGATTTATCTTCTTTATCTTTGTCTATTTAAAATCAAGGCTATAAGTAAAAGATTTGATATTAAATATATCGAAATATATCGGTATGGAAGGTTATAAAAATAAACTTAAAATATAAGTAGAAAGGGCTGTAAGTAAGGGTCACAACGCGGATCACGGTGCGTTCAGATATAAATGTGATTTATACCACTGAGGATGGCTCGGACAGGAGCCGGAACGTTTGGAATTTTGTAATTTGAGGAATAAATCACATTTATATCTGAACGCACCGTGATCCGCGTTGTGACCCTTACAGCCCTTTCTACTTATATTTTTATTTCGAGGGTCTTTATATCACACTTATTAAACTTAAAATATTGTTCTTGCTCGTGTTTCATGGAGCCTGTTCTAAATTAATATTCCTTGATATTTTTATCGTTTGTATAGATTTTATTTTTATTGACATTATATCATTTTTATTAATATCGTTTTTATTGACATTTTATCATTTGTGTTTCCTCATAGAGAAAGTTTTGTGATGGTGGAAAAAAATTTTTTCGAGATTTTGATGGAAATAGGTTTAGAATGTTCCAAAATGTCGAGAAATCACATTAGTAGAAAATGTCCGGAAGTGTGTGTGTGTGTGTGTGCGTGCGTGCGTGCGTGCGTGCGCGCGCGCGTGTGCGTGTGTGTGCGCGCGCGCGCATATGTATATATATCACGCTATTACACATGTATTCACTTTCTTTCGTGAGTTCGAACCTCATTCTCAATGCGTATTTTTGCCGAAGAACGATTTCCATTGTAGTTTATCATTGCGCAACTTCACGCGTGCTTAACTCACGCAAATTTTTAACGCTCCATATGAAGGAACGTTCACAATTTCCTTTTCGTCTTAATACCCGAAAATCAATATAGTCAACACAATAGCACTTATAATTTATTATTACTACACGATGGAAATCTCAAAAGATTGAGCAACAGATTCTATCCCTTAATGCCGCGATTATCTACTCAGTTCGAAAAAAAATTATTTTTTTACAAACAAAACTTCTTTTTTGTTTGCTTACAGTTCGGCATATGGCAACTCTCAAGGTTCGTACGCGACGATGAGTTCTCCGCGCCAGCAACAACACAGCGGTCAGCAATTGTTGATGTTGCAACAACAACAGCAGCAGCAACAGGCACAAATGCAACATATGCAGTATATACATTCCCAGCAACAGCAGCAACAACAACAACAACAACAACAACAACAACAACAACAACAACTGCAGCAGCAGCAACAACAACAACAGCAAATACAATACAGAAGTCCTACCGGAGGCAGTCCGACTACTATGCAAGCTAACAATATTCCAGAGACGAATAACAATACTACGACCAGCGAAGATAGCGATGATAGCACTCCGCATTCTGGGATGGTAAGTCGAATCACGCATGGTATTTACGCAATGTTTTTGTTTGAGTAATTTGTCATATAAATAGATCTCTTAAGATGTTTATAAGCTAATAATACACAATACGTGTTTTATAGCATAAAGCAAATGTTATTCAAAACTGTAATTCACAAATTAAAATTAAGCGTAAAATCCAACTCGACGAAAATGTCAGATTTATTTCTTCCATATTGTACATACATATATTTTTATCTATTTATACACATATATACTCATCAATTATAGGTACATACTTTACATTATTACATACTTTACTTTACTTTACTTTACTTTACATTATTTACATACTGTTTAAATAACATGTTATTTATAAATATTATATATATATATGTACAATACTTTCTGTGTAAGCAATACTTCTTTAATTTATAAAAATATTTTCTTTAGTTCATTAAGCGTTTTTTGTATAATCAATATCTTTCACATTAATATCAGCCTCCCAGGAAGGGAAGGGTTTGCATAAATTAATAATATTGTTTTAAAATATTTTTGGATAATTTATGAAAATAGACAGTTTATTTTCGAATAGTTTATTAAAAGAAAGTGCGAATATTTCTTAAATATCTTTTCCTATCCAGATTGCTATGGTCAAACGTGAGCCACCGTCGCCAGAAGCTGACGTTGGAGCGAAGAATCAAAGAAAAACGAAACCACAAAAGAAAAAGAAGAAGAGAGATCCTAACGAGCCACAGAAGTAAGTAACTATATTTTGGTCTGTATAAAGTAATGAAAAAAGTCTGAAATATCCATCGTAAAATCCGAGGTAAATTCTTTTTGAAGAAGTTGACATTTGCAAAATGATACCGTTTCAACGTTTCTTCCACTTTCTTGTCTATAATATAATATCACTTAAAAATTTTTATTTTTTTATATTACAATCAAGAAAAAAATATTTTTTAGTTGAGTTAGTATTACTTGTATGTTGTATGCGACAAAAGCATACAGAACTAAAGCTATATTGTGTCAATATTCTATATTCACATTTGTAATAATGGTATGAATTATTATCGCTCTAAATTATCTGTCATCATTATTGCTGTAAATGTAGAACTATGTAAAAATATAGAATGTTGGAATAAGCAAAACAGATGTAGGCACCAAGGGAAAATAATTTTACATACCCTTTTTCTTCTATTAAAAGTTTTTTGGATAGTTTATTAAAAAAGAGTCTGAATATTTTTTAAATATCTTTTCCTATCCAGATTGCTATGGTCAAACGTGAACCACCGTGTGGTCTAACAATGTTTTATTGCCCGGTTTCCAATTACAATCACAAAGTGTAATTAGAAATGTTCAGTGAAAACTCGGGGTAGATGGCGCCATGGCGTCCTGTCCTGTCATGGTGGCGCGATGGCGGCGTCACCAACACTAACTCAATATACATGTATGTGTTGGTGTATCTGTAAGCACATTCGTGAGATATACATAACTGTAAATAAAGCCTGTAATGTTTACACGATATTTCCTCTGTCTTTGCATATTTTGAGTGGAAAATGAAGTGCAGTGTGCTTGAATGTAAAAATGTTTCCAGGATTGGCTCATAACCAAAATTATTATTTTTATTATAATATATCAATCTAAAAAGTTATAAAAATATATTAATCTAAAAATTAATCTAAATACAATTTACTGTTAAAGTGATAAAACACACATTTTGACTACATTTTGTAATCTGCCCATATACAATTACTAACCTGTCCACTAACTCTTTTTTCTTTCCACATAATAATGCACCTCTTTCTCGCAGCAGCTCCTTCAATTTTTTAACACTTAATTTACCGTAATAATCTTCTCTCGACATTTTTGATGAATCGCACTAGCCGCGAAGTATCACAGCATAGGCTCACGCATACACCAACACATACAGTATATTGAGTTAGTGTTGGTGACGCCGCCATGACAGGACAGGACGCCATGGCGCCATCTGCCCCGAGTTTTCACTGAACATTCCTAATTATAATCGTTAAATGCACGCTCTTTGGATTTGCTATCGCAAAAATTCGCGCAACGTCTCTCAGCCAAAACAGTTCCTCGCTTCGGATTGCTCCAAATTTTTTCTGTCTCTGCACAATTAGCACCGAATTCAGCCTTCATCACACGCCTCACGAATGTACTTGATTCTGATATCGCTGAGCCAGAGTTCCTGTAAAGCTACAACAATATCTATCGTAATGTTCACCGTAAGCGATCGTAACGCTCGTCGTAATAGCTATCGTAAGCTCATCGTATGAATTGATTCAGCTTGAACTCTTACGATTACGACGCTTGTCTGGCGTTACAAGATTTTTGAGAATTTTTTCCAATTTTTTTTTAAGCAATTTGTCAAAATAAAAAGAATCGCGTCGGAAAAATCTGAACAAATTCTCAAAAATCCTGTGTTATATACAAAAATATTCAAGCAACAGCATACAGTGGACTGACGTCTGCTTCTAATTTTTTTTAATATTTTTTTCGAAATAACTCGAAAAAATTAGAAGCAAACGCCGACCTACTTCGGGCCTAGGCTTAAAAATTTTAATATCTGACACAGGATTTTTGAGAATTTTTTCATGTTTTTAAATTATGGCCATCGATATGTTGGTTTAAAAAATTATAACTAAATCAATTGTTTAAAAAAAAATCTAAAAAAAATTCAGAGTGCATCTTACAAGGTGGAACAATAACATAAAAAATCGCCGACCAAATCCGAAAGGTCGAGAGTCAAACCTTGGTTGATTTGACATGGAATGCTCCATATTCTTGTAGCCCTTGTCGAGACAATTTTAAAACACTACCTATTTGCCCTTTTTTGATGAAAAATTCCCGAAATATGAAGTTTGAAAGTTAAGATGCCGATGTTAGCTAGCATTACCCAAGGTACCACACGGTGTACTACATGGAGGACATACGGTCAGTTTTACACCTTGTGTGTGTGTGTGTGTGTGTGTGTGTGTGTGTGTGTGTGTGTGTGT